GAAAATAGAGAGCACGTTGGCACAGAGAGAAAATAGGGAGGCTCACAGGTATAGAGAGAAAATAGAGAGCACGCAGGCACGGAGAGAAATAGGGAAGTGAGAGAAGAGGATGTGGGAGAGAGGAGAGAGAATGGACTTGGGGTATGTTCTAGCCTAGGTGGACACCCATGAGCCCTTTTGCATGCATATGAGAGAGAAGGGTTAGGCTTGGGTCAAGACTAAAGCCCACGGTCTGTGGTATAGGCTAGGGTGTATGGCATAGTGTGTAGGCTAGGGTGTATGGTGTAGCGTGTGGGCTAGGGTATATGGACTAGGGTTAGTTTCTCTCTCCACAAAAGTTTTCTCTCTCCTCAGCGCTGGATCCAGAGACTAGAAGCAAAGCAAGCTTAATGTCTTAATTCCATTATCGCATGATTCAGTCTTTTTACAATTGACCTCAGCTTGTTTATATAGAGCAACCACAAAACATGGGTGGATGCTCAAAACTAAGCCAAATTGTGGGAAATATAATTAAATGGAATTAAAATAAAATCTAGTTTTTGGACAAAATTAACAAAATACCCTTTAGTTTTTTTGAGCAAATGAGAAAACCATCCCTCCCAGAGGGGCCTCTTGCCATTGCTAGACTTCAGCAGCTTTTTCAAACGCTTGTGGCAATGATTCGAATGATCCATTGTCGTAGAGTGGATGTTTGATCCGTTCTGAACATTTTGATGTCTTTTAATCGTCTTGAAACAGATTTTCATGCAGAGGCAAAAATCCAGCCAAGTCCATAAACTTTGACTACGGATCCGGTGCGATCCACGATGTTCCAAGTCCTCATTTTGATCACAAATTAAAGGGGACATTGTTCCAATTGTTTTGCATTAAAATTCGTCTAATTTGGTTCCGTTTGAGCATATCCCCAAATTGGGAAGTTGTCGAAAAATGGGATTCTGGCAATCGAAAAACTCTTGCCATCTTCAACCTTGAAATTCGTACTGTCCAGCCTTTAATTGAATGTAAAAGCTATACCAAACTTGTAGCCCTTCGCGATGCGGTTGTAACGGACCCGATTTCGTGCCGATCCGACTTTCGGATCTCTAGTTGTTGCTTCGTGAAGTATGGAATGTCTTCTTTCAAAATTCTGATTTTCATGTTTTCGGGCTCATCTTCTCTCTAGAAAATTTCTAGTCTCGGGCCACGTCATGACGCGTGCCATTTATCAAAATGACGGGGTCGTTGAGACCTAACTTGTGTCCGAATTTGAGCTTGTTCTGATTCCAAACGAGCGAGCTATGAGCACTTAAATCATCCCGAGGGGTTGAAAATGCAGTTTCCAGAACGAGCAACTAGTTCACTGAGGCTGCACCGAAATAGTTTGGTGATTGGGGCCCATAATGATCCTTGAAGGTCTGCTGGAGCTCAAATTTGGTCCTTAGGGGTTTTTCGACGTTCCGGATCTATTGGCCGTGGTCTGGTACGGTTTTGAAACCTCGAAAATGGGGCTGTAGTTATAAGGTCCCTTTTCAGCATGATAGGAGCTGGATTTGAGAATCGAGTTTTGTCCTGATCATATCAAAACTTATTATAATGTGACGAAACTTTATGAGCGTCCTTTGGGCATCCCAAACTACCCTTTTCTTGTCTTTTCCCGTTACAATATTTTTTCAGAGGTTGCCCAGTTTTAGGCTTATTTTGCAGTGTTATCATGGTCTAGCAATGTCTTGGGTATTGGCAGGACTAGGTTGTTATTGGTTCTCTCCTTATGCAACTTTGAAATAAGTATGTAAAAAATGACGTATAACACATTTATCTGATCAATTTTTTATCAACAAGGCTTTGGATGTTATTGAGGCTGCTGGTGGTTCATTTCATTTAGTGAAATGTGAAGTGGGTCAAAGTGCGGATGCCTTGTTATTCTCAGAACAAGAAGTTGGAGTCGATGATCAAAGCTTTCTTGACCAAATAATTGATTTGTTGTCTTTTATTACTAATCCAAGTGATGATTTGGTGGCTAGAATTTCCAGGAGAGGTATAGACGGATTTCACTAAAGGTTGGTATGGTTGGTGAAAAACTGGTTCAGGCAGGAGATCACCTGGAGGAAAGACCGACGGTTCTAGTCTTGGGTGCAGGATGTGTTCGTCAACAATTATATTTCCTGTGCAGATATTTGAATGTGTTTGGGTGTTTGTCATGGGAGGAAGTTCTTTTGCTAGGAATCAAAATTCTTCGGTTGGAAACAATGCTTCTTAAGCAAGGGTAGTCAATTTTGATCCCTCAATCAGCAATTTGTTCTGCAATGTATATGCCAAATGGTTGGCCCTCGAAGATGCATCTTGGTTGTTTAGGTTCATGCCTTACAAAAGAACAATTGCATGAAGAAGAAGGGCTTCACCATCAACTAAGGGAGGATGATGAAGATGCAACAAGAAAAAATCGTGACGAGTGTTTTTTCCAACCTGGGGAGTATGATGCAAATCGCATCCAAGATATTTATTTTTATTTTTATTTATTATTGGGACTGAAGTTTAGGGATATTCATGTAGTGGTTAAAAAGGGATTTTTATTTTATTTAGGATGGGCTTGGATGGATTTCCTGGTTTGTAGGATCCCATGTTTCTATTTTGATAGGATTGTTAGATAATTAGAAAGAGAATGATGGGATAGGGTTGATCACGTGAAGCGCAGAGAAATTTCCTAAAAAAGAGGATCTATGAGAGAAAATAGGAAAGTTTGGAAAGAGGTTGATTTACTTGATCTAGATTTATATGGGATAAGGGTTTTCTAAATCATGAGGGAAGCTTTATGAAAGGAAGGAAGAGTGGATGGTTACGTGAGGTAGATAGGAAGCCTAAAGCGTAGGGGATAAGAAAAAGATAGAGAAATAATAGGTGGAGAGTGCATGTGGTGGTTAACGTGATTGTGTGTGTGTGAGAGAGAGAGGGCGAGAAATTTAGACGTGGAGGAGAGAGAGAGAGGGTGAGAAATTTAGATGTGGAGGAGAGAGAGAATCATTGGGTTTTTTATTTTAGTTTTTTATATTTGGCTTGTATAAAAGAGGAAGGATTATGTGGAGAGAAACAAGGATATTTTTCAAAGAGAGTTTGTTTTATGAATGAAGAAAGACATCTACTTCTTTTCCATGGCTTGATTACAACCACATTTTCCCCACCATTATTGCTGAAATTTTTGCTTGTTTAAGATCAAAAGAAGACTGGATTTAATTTCCTGGACTCCTTTTGCATCATTAAATCCTGTCTTCTTTTGATCTTACACAAGCAAAAATTTCAATAATAATGGAGGGGAAAATGTGGTTGTAAATCAAGTCGTGGAAAAGAAGAAGCTGTCAAACAAACTGGAAAATATCCACATTTCTCTCTACACATAAGCCTTTCTCTTTTATACATGCCAAACATAAAAAACTAAAACAAAAACCCCACTGATTCTCTATCTCTCCTCCACATCAAAATCTCTCTCTCTCTAAATCACGTTAACCACCACGTGCCCATATCGCCACCTATTATTTTTCTTTCTTTTTCTTATCCCCTAAGCTTTAAGCCTCTTATGTACTTCACGTAACCATCCACTCTTCCTTCCTTTCATAAAGCTTCCCTCATGATTTAGAAAGCCTTTATCCCACATAATTCTCTCTAGATCAAGTAAATCAACCCTTTTCCAAACTTTTCTATTTTCTCTCATAGATCCTCTTTTCTGGGAAAATTCTTTACCCCTCGCGTGATCAACCCTTGCCCATCATTTTCTTTCTAATTGTCTAACAATCCTACCAAAATAGGATCATGGAATCCTACAATCTAGGAAATCCATCCAAGCCCATCCTAAATAAAATAAAAATCCTTTTTTAACCCCTATATGAATATCCCTAAAATTCTGTCCCAACAATAAATAACAATAAATATCTTGGATGCGATTTACATCATCTCCCAACCTAGGCGTCGTTCCCCCTTCATGGTCTTGTTCTAGCACTTCAGGGCGCGATCACGATTTTGCAGTTCTGGGATCTTGATCCACACGTCTTAAGGTTCGATCCTAGCCACTTGAAGGGGCAACAAGAGGCCAAGGAGATGATTCATTTAGTTCTTAATTGCGATCATACTCTCTATCTCTAAGGCTTTTCGAGGTTGTAAAGTGTGAAATTGTAAATAAAGCAGCTTGATGTGCTTTTGGAGGTTGTAAAGTGTGAATTGTATATAACGCAGATTTTATCCAAAAAAAATCAGCTTCTTTGTATAGTTGTCAGTCATCCTGATGTGCTTTATCATCAGAAAATTTAATTATATTTTGTAGGATTATTGTTATAACAATTCTATTAACTAATTAAACAAAAATTTAATTAATAAATCATGGTAAGTTCTATTCAGTTTGAATCAAAGGAATTGCAGTTTGGGCCCCTATTGCTGAGTGATATAGAAATACATAATTATTATCATGTTAAGCTAAAGAAACCTAGATGAACAAACCAATGACAAATAAAACAATTAGTTCTGACCATGACTTGCAGCGCCATCATTATGTGTCCACATGCCAGATGCATTTGCAATAAAACTGTGGTTAAAGATCAATGATCATGCTTGACTGAGGTTAATTTTGTTTACCTATTGACAATCAATATCATTCATTTCGGTGGAGCAACTAAATGCGTTGGTCTTTATTAAACTAATCTCTTCCCCTAATGTCATGTCTGATTCAGAGTCACTAACTACCGCTTTAGAATCACCCCTTGTTGGATTTTCAACCCGATTATGCGCTCAGCACTCTGTGAAAATATGCCTCGGGGTTTTCAACTCTTAAACTTCAGTATTCTTTGACTCATTGAAGTGTATGGACATAAGTAACTTAAAATGTTGTCTATACAAATTATATGATGTTGATATTTCTTGTTTGTCAAGGTTTGAACTCTCCTTTGTTTTTTTACTTTTGGATATTAGATAATATTTCATAAGAATTAAGTTGCTTCATTTATTCATTGTGGGTCACAATTAATATTATTTTTTTCCAGGCTCCTTCAACAGATATAGCTGTAAATGAACTGACTCATGCTTCTGCCGAAGTCAGTGAAATTGTATTTTTCTTGCTTGGTGCAATGACCATAGTTGAGATAGTTGATGCCCATCAAGGGTTCAAGCTGGTTACAGATAATATCACCACTCGGAAACCACGTACGCTCCTTTGGGTGGTAAGTACGTAATTGTTTTTAATTACCAAAAAAAGAAAAAAATTCTTCAGGGTCCATCTTTGGCGCACCCTGCTAATCTCTAAAGCACTAAAATATGTCCATGTTTGCTTTAATTTTGTTTTGTATCATGACCTAAGTGTTTTATAGGTATAACATGCTTGTCTAATCCCATAGAATTTGAAATCTTGTCAGTAGATTAAAAAAATCTGAATTATATTTCCTATCTGTTGCAAGTGTACATCACTTGCACATCTCACAAATGTTCTTTATGGATGTCAACACTCTGGTAGATTAATTTGTGCTTGTCTTGCTTCCTGTTTATGAGGAAAGTTTTATGTATTTCCGACTGATGACTTGAAATCTGCTATTTGTCTTTCTAGATTCGCAAAGAAATAAGTCGTTCATTTTTATGGAAGCAAAACTGTGCCATTAAATAGAGGCCAAATAATGATAGCAGCTAAGACATGCTTAAAGAAGTGTTACTCCCAATCTTTATGTATTTCTATGGTCTCCAATGTATTATTTTGTTTCAATAGGAATACTTGATAGCCAAAATCTCCAAAAAGTTGATGCATCCTTTTGTCTTTATCTTACTAATGCATTCCCATGATCAAGGTTGGATAGGCATACTGGATAGCCAAAATCTCCAAAAGTTGATGCATCCCTTTGTCTTTATCTTACTAATGCATTCCCATGATCAAGACTGGTAAAGAAAGCCGTTTTTTGTGTTTGGTATGTTCAAAATATGGAATTGAGTTCCTTCTTGTGCGTGAAAGCATTTCATATATTCCATTTGAGGTAGCATGAATTGAATACTGGAGTCAAGATGCATCTGGTATATTAACCTGCTTGCATGTGAGGCTTTATACACTTGTCATTGAACTTCACAGTAAGATCTAAGGTGAAATCACGATGAAAGATTTGTTGTCCTTTCTTCATAGTTCATATATGCTTGATGGATCTCCTCTACACTTCATACCCCTACTCTGAAAGTTTGGTGGAGCTCAGTTCCTTCAAATGGTTATCTTAAACTCAGCTTTGACCATATTTGCAAAAATAGGTGGCCCCTCCTGTTGCCTTTGTGGGTGTGTTTGATGATGTAACAAGCTTCTGATCGGAGCTTAACATGTAATATTTCCTGAAGCTAATGATTTGCTTGAAGAAGTTGCTGATATGTATACACCAGCTAATCTCGACATCGTGGGGTTCTATAGATTCTTAGAGGGGTTACAATCTAAGAGAAACATGAAAGAATTTGTACACACAGAAGCTATAATTTGGACACTATTATTTATTTTTAAGTAGTCTTTCTACTTTCTTTTATAAGCCATATTGGTCCTTTGTTTTATGTTCCTGGCTGTAGTTAATGCAATCATGTTTTTACATTCGAAGTTGTTCTGTAAAAGTTTCCTATTGGGGTTACCCATCATTAAATGTTTGTGTGGGCTATAAGAGTTAATGAAGATATTTATGTGTATGGCAGGTTAGTTTTGTCACATTTTTTCTCAGTGCAATCCTCGACAATTTGACAACCACGATTGTGATGGTGTCATTATTGCGGAAACTTTTACCTCCATCTGAATACAGGAAGTATGTGCTTTATTGTTCTTTCTATCACCTAAATCCTACCTACATGCCAACTTCTATTAAATATAGCCTTAGAAAACCAAAATTTTGAATTTGTAATCAGAGGAAATGCACTATAGAAAACATAATGATATATGAAGCATTTGGACCTGAATGTGATGTAGTTTGCAGTTTAGTATTTGATCAATTGTTACCTTCTATCATCAGTTTAAGTTGTACACAATTATGAAGTATTGATGGTCCTATCTTTACCTTGTGCATTCTGACATTGATACCTAATCCTTGAGTGCATTTAAACATTTGCTTTATTAAAATACTTGGGATAAATGTCTTGGCCTGTTCAGATGGCTTCTTACATTGTTATTGATCATAGAAAGCATACAGGGCTAGACTGGAAACAAGTATACTTATCGCAAGTATTCTGTGTGTGTTGTGTGTGTGTTTGTATGTGTGTAAGACGAGTTATCAATCAAGCGTTCCTGCCAAAGACGGGTCTTTCAACTGAAGCAACAAAAGAAATTTTGCTTTGGTCAAAACACCTTGATCAACCGAAAGACAAACCCGAAAGCAAGATTCAGATTCTCTTCGGGGAAGTAGCCAAGGTGGAATTCTTCAGCCTCTTTGGCAGAAGAAAAATGAACTTTTAGAGTTTGCTTTCAAGGATAAGGTTGTGGAATGAGACCTGAATCATTTGGGGTTTGCTTGCATATAAGAGATTTGTATGGTTGTCCTTGGAGTTCTGGTGGAAGTTCATGAAAGTCTTGCTGCACCAAGGTTTCGATGAATATTTCCTCTACTTATGGAAGCCAATAGTTGCACTTTGGGTGGAAGTCCATGAAGGCTTGCAATAAGGAAGGGTTTTGATGTTTATTTCCAGAAGTAGAGTTCTGATGCATCCATAGAATTGCTTGGGGAACCTTCTGGTTGCAGTTGACTTTAATTTATTGATGCCCATACCTAGTGGCCTGTTGCGAGGCATATTATATCTGTAGTTCCTTAGGACGACCATGCATATCAGTGAAATCACCGGGAATGCATTTGTTCTCGTGTCCGATCATGGGCTCTGAGGTGCAGAGTCCATTCTATTTTGTTGGCAGCTGTGAATGATATGCTGAGTATTTTGAGGGGTCTTACCATTGGACTTCTAATAAGCAGCATGATTCTTTCAGACCTATGCAGCTATGCTTATATATATATATATTTTGCGAGGACTCCTCTCATTAGCAATCCTGCAATGATATGGCTGCAAGTCTATCTGCAATTCCTAAGGTCCTTTCTTTTGCTACTGGGTTTCTCTACTCTGCCATTAATTTTTTCTTCTGGTTTATTTAATGACAAGATCCAATTGGATGGTTCAACCCAATGGTTTAAAAAGCAGATCGGTGACTCGGATCGGGCACCTAAAAAACCGATCCAGATCGGGAATCGGCTGAATCGGTCGGATTAAAGCTTCAAAAAAATCCGAAAATTTTATTAAAATTCATTATAAATATTGTTTTTTAGGAATCCAATAAGAAATGAGGGTACTACATTATTAACTTTCATTTTTTTCATCAATTTGTGAATATTGAGATGCTTTTTCCCTGTATAAACTTATGTTAACCATTAAGTTTGCATCACATAAAAGAAAAATCATAGAAATATCATAGATAAAATATATAATTATACATGGACTATTATAAAGAGTAGACTAATCAATGAAAGAATGGCCATTAAAATCTCGTTTTGGCGAAAAACCCTAATCCGCTAAAAAAATCTAAATTATTACAGCCTAACTAACTATAATCCAAAATTATTAAAACCTAACTAATTATAATATTATATAATGAAATTATAATTATTAGTTGACATTTTATAATTATTTTATTAGACAAATAATAACAAATTAAAAATATTTTATAATATTATCTAATTTAAAATGTATTATTGACAACTGTAAGAAAAATAGTACATTACATGATTTATAATGTAAAAATTAATAGATAAAATAAAAGATTTGGTTATCAATATAAAAATTAATAAAATACGTACAAATTTTGGAAATAACACTTCAATTTTTCAAAAATTTATTTTTTTAAGTTTCTATGATAAATTTAGTGAAAGAGATTGTTAGTAGAAAGATAGAGATTTCAAATAGAATAAACTTTTTTTTTTTATTTTTTTATGCTTTTCATATTATTTAAAAAAATAATTCTAGCACTATATACAACAAAAATTAACTTTTTTTATTTTTTATTTTTTATGTTTTTTATATTATTTAAAAAAATACTTATACAATATATACAACAAAAACTATACAACACAAAAATGTAACGCTCACGGGGGGACTCGACCTTGTGACATCACATTAAGAAGCAAAGGTCTTAACCACCACACCACCTCATCAGATGTGGTTGTAACTTGCTGATTAATAGAATATATTTACATTCCTATTTCATTTAATGATGTTTGGGAATTATCCCACATCGAAAGATGGGTATTTAACTTTGGTATATAAATACCTATGTAATATGAATCAAAGTATTTGTGTACAAATATTGAGGCAACCTCAAACGTGTCGCACGCGTGTCGGAAGGGAACTGGGCTGAACCGGGTAGAATCAGATGGGAACCGGCGGTTCTTTTCTAGAACCGGGCGGTTCACGGTTTTTTACTGGAACTGGTACGGGTTGTGTCGGTTCCAGGGTCGAACCAGGCGAGTCCGGTTCGACTCGCCGATTTTTAAAACACTGGTTCAACCTATTTGGATCGGAACCATTTCTAAAGTTGTTCTGATTGACAAGTCATTTGAAAATCTCATGCAGTAGTACATAGCCATTTCTAACGTTGTTATGATTGACAAGTCATTTGCTAATCTCATGCAGCAGTACATAACTATGGTGCAAATAGTTATTTTTCATAATTAGTCTTTTTACACAGTTGCATGTCGAAAAGAAATAACTATTTTTCATAACTGCTCGTCATTTTTCATAATTAGTCTTTTGATATTTCTTTTCGACATGCAACTGTGTAACTCTCGTGGTTCTGAATTTTGTCAAATCAGCTCCAATCTTCAATTCTACTGAAGTACTAAACTAGTTATTCATGCAACAACCTTAGAGTTTTTAGTAAGTAAAGGTTTTTATCATGAATGTACCATGGAGCCTCTTGGTCAATCCTCGCTGGTTAGCTTACCTCTCTCATAATGTGGAAAACCTAAAATATAATTCCTCATACGGAAAACCGGCATTAGAATTATCTATTCTGGTTTCATTGCTCAAAATTGTTAGATTATTTCAAAATATTTTGTGAAATTGGATTTGAAAACGCCTAAAAAATTATAGTTTGATATTGGACCATTTGGTATTTCATAAAATAATTTGGACGAAGATATATTTCCTCAAAAGACTTGAGTTCTGGATTATTTTGGTAATTTAAAATATTGGGGCCCTATTTGGTAATTTAATAAAACACATGTTTGAATGATTTTAAATTTGGAAGTTGTGGTCCTCTAGACCACAAATGGATATAGTTTGAAAAGGTCTTGGAGAATTATACTTTGATATTGGACCATTTTCATAAAATAATTTGGACGAAGATATATTTCCTCAAAAGACTTAAGTTCTGGATTATTTTTGTAATTTTAAAATATCGGGGGCCTATTTGGTAATTTAATGGAACACATGTTTGAATGATTTTAAATTTGGAAGTTGTGGTCCTCTGGACCACAAATGGATAGTTTGAAAAGGTGTTGGGGCAACACCTTTCCAAACTCCACAAAAAGGTTCTTACCGGATGTTAAAGTAGAAAAAAAGAGACACCTCTCTCTCTCTCTCTGTCTATAGCGACTAATATATAATTTCTATCTATATTACAATTTGACATTGGAAGATAATACTCTATCCTTTGTCACTATTTTCGCAATTTATTTAGTAAATTATGGCTCTTTGAAGAGGGGTTTTTTCAATAGAAGTTCCTTCTAGAAGGGGACACTTTCGAAAGTAGTGAAGTATTAAGTATTTAGGATGTACTTTAATTGTGCAAGTTATAGTCCAACAATAATTTAGTAAAGCTTTGTTTTATCTTAGAGGCAGTGCTGCCAGTTGCAAATCTCCAGTTGCGCTAATAAGGGGGGCAACTGCCTTTAATAGAGCAAATTTTTGTGATTCTATGTCTAATGAATTAATAAGATTATTTTCATATACTTGATTTAATTGAAAATTAGTAGTGGCTGACTTCATTTACCCAAAATACTAGCGGTTGATTTCATAATAAAAAAATATTTCCAACAAAAATAAAATGGTATAAACATTATGATATCCAAAAAGAAACTTGAATTGAATGACGAAATAGGAAACTCTGGAAGCCAGTCAAGAGTTGGAGAAACATAGAAGCTCAAGCATGCTGCAGACACATAACCATGAAAAACTGTGATTTAATTCATACCACCCTGAAAAATTCAGATTTCATGGAACCAAAGAAAGGCCATATCCCAAAAATACTTACTGGATGAGGATGAAACTTGAATGCAAAATAGATCTAAGTGGGTCGGATCTGAAGAACGAAGCTATGTCAAGGATCAAACATCCACACATGCAACTCGAGGGAAATCTCTGTTCTGGCAGAATTATTATTGAAGGCCACAGAAAAAACATAAATAACTCAAGAAAATGGATTTTTTTCGCTAAATTTCTTGTAGGGAATATTGGTATTGCCAAAATGAATAAAAAAGTTCCTCAAACTCTTAAAAACCCAGATCTATAGAATTGGAAGCACAAACCTCAAATCAAATCGTGACATATCTGTTTATTAGTACTTGGATTCCCTTTTAAACACCCCTTAGTTGTATGTCAATGGAGTTGTGGAAAGTGAAAGGAACAAAGTTGTATGGATAATTATATGTACTGTACTGAATGCTACAGTAAATAAGGTAATTGCTACAGTTGTCAGAAAAAAATGCCAAATCAGTCTATTAAATGTGTTGGTTACGGATGTACAACTTCTATATTTGAAAATTAGAGTGTGCTTGATATCTGAATTAGAATTTGACGAGTAAAATTCTCATGCTAGCTCTAATACAATTAAACTCAGAGATAGAGAAATCGTGTGTGATTCTCTTGATTAGAAAAAGGTACTAAACCCATATTCACATGGCTAGTTTACATAAGGTACGCAAATACTCCTGTAATATGACAAAATACCCTCAAACTTGTTGACAAGTGACATAGACAAAATATAAGACCAATATCCATCTTAACATTATGGAATAGTTAATTTATTTAAATAACTTGTATTAATTTATTTAAATATAGGAAATGTAATAGGCATGAGATAAATGACAAGACTAATCATCATCATCATCATCAAAGCCTTGTCCCAACTAATTGGGATCGGCTACACGAATCTTGTTCCACTATTCTGCTCTATCAAGGGGCCATACCTTCAGTAAGATCATAAGTCCTCATATATTTTCTCACTACTTCCATCCATGTTCTCTTGGGCCTTCTTCTTGAGTTTTTAAAGCCTTCCACATGAACAAAATCGCACGTTCTAACCGATGTTGTATTGGGTATGCGCTGCACATGGCCAGCCCACCTAAGTCTACTTTCTTTCATCTTATTGCATATTGAAGCCACACTTAAGTTCACTCGAATGTATGCATTTCAAATTCTATCTTTTCTTTTCTTACCACTCATCCTTCTCAATATTTTTATCTCAGCTACACTCATCCTCTAGGCATGTTATTTCTTGACCGCCCAACATTCTGTCCCATAAAGCAAGCTAGTCTCACAACCGTCCTATAGAATTTTCCCTTCAGCTTCATCGTTGTGCGGCGGTCACATAAAACTCCTGTTGCACATCTTCACTTTACGCATGCAGCTCTAATTCTATGTGAGACTTCACAAGAATAAGATTGACATTTTCTATGTCTAGGATTGGAGTGTCTTGTAATGTGGCATGGAGTTCCCATGTGGGGCTTTTAACACCCTTTTCTGATCGTCCTCTTTGTGGGTCATTGTTGGTGTACTTCTTTTCTAACACCCATTATTTGAATATCCATCAGTACATAGTTGAATCCTTTCTAGTATAGTAATAAGAATATATGGGAAATTATTGAATCGTCTCTTTAATTTGCAATGGTTGCCGGGACAAATTGATATTTTGATAAGTGAAGTTCCATCTGGGAGATACACTTGTTTGCCCTGCTATTGTTTTCCGTGCACTGATATAATGATCACAAAGCATTTATCGGTAAGAAAGTACTCCATGGTCTTGAAATGTGAAGCAGTTGCGGACTAGTCCCCCAACATATTTGATCTAGGATCAGGATAAATATTATTGTTGTAATGTTGACTCCATACATTTGTCTCTCTTTAAGTATTTTCTATTTTGTCAACAGATTTCTTGGAGCTGTTGTTGTGATAGCAGCGAATGCTGGTGGGGCTTGGACTCCAATTGGTGATGTTACAACAACGATGTTATGGATACATGGTCAAATCTCAACGGTGCAAACAATACAGGTTTTTTCCCATCAGTCTAAATCAATCCTGACCTCCTATCCTTGTCATTCATTTAGTACTAACAGTTCCTCGTATTGTCGGGTCCACATATTTTAATCTAATAGGCCTTGCCATGTATCTACTTTACTGATGTGCCCAATATTGATTACTCTTCCATTATTGTTTTTCGGCATTACTTAGAAATAAGTGAGTGAGAGGAATGATCAGAAATGTGAATGCCTGCTTGTATCTTACTTTTCCACAAAACATGCCATAGTTCAAACCTTACTGAGAAACTTATCTTCTTCACACCAAATGCCTTTTTCATTTTCTGACTACATACAGGATATGTTTATGGAAGTGGACACAATGATTATTATTGATTAGAACAGATGACTATCAATAGTCATCTGCATGGAATATTGCAAAAGAACCTGTTTTGATTGGTCCTTTTTTTAACAAATAAGTCTATTTGTTCCTCTGCGTACTTAGATAGGCAGAACAAAGTTTGGTCCTTTCCAGTATTCGATGGTATGGGCCTCTCCATCCCCGCTTCTTTAGAATACTCCACCACAATGCTCACAACCCTATTAAATAAGCTTGTTTTCCACTTATTTCCAACTAGCTACAGTCTTTAATGGAGTTGTTGGGCCATCGAAATGGAGCCTAATTGAGTGGGATCATGTAGCAGTAATTTAAAAGATTCACTAGGAGTCGGCAATGAGATCCTTAGTAGTTGTTTGGATCTGTTATACGATAGTGAATTTGAGAATCTAAAATTGCGTACTACTACCTTCAAAATGTTTTGAAGCTATCTGTCAAGCTTGCATGGTATAAGATGGAAACCCTAGCAGAGAGCAAGGGGACAAGGCATGTATGGTTTGAAGGCCTGTAAGGAAAATAGGGTTCCAATACCTTTTAAACTATTTTGTAGTTATATCATAATTCAATGACAACATTCTGTTACACAAATAGAAAGAAAAACAAAAAACGTAATGCATGTAATGCATACTCTCTACACTGGGTCGAATCACCAACTGGGAAGGAGGTTGTAAAATCTTGTTTGGGTATACAAGTTGAAGTATAAGTTTGATGATAGCATTGAGAGGCATCAAGTCCATTGGAAAACAATGGCTTCACTTAAAACACATGAAGTAGATTATGGAGAAACCTTTGTACCAGTGGTCAAAATGGGATCAGTTCGAGCTCTTCTCTAGAAGTCGTAATGAACAAGAATTGGCCATTCTATGGACTTGATTTGAAGATTACCTTTCTTCATAGAAATCTGAATGAGGAAATATACCTGTAGTGACCTCCAATTCTGGGGAGACCATTGCCATCTCTGCAAATTTTTGTATGGTCTCACGCAATCTCCCGAAGCGAGGTTTGATAGGTTCAGCAGAGAAGTTTATTGATTTCCTGTGTAGTGGATCTGACTATTCCTTGTTTGTTCACCATTTGGCATCTAGGACCACTTTAATGCTTGTTCATGTAGATGAAATAGCAGTCACTAATGATGATTCCGAAAGGGGTAGACACACTAAGGCGTATGTGATCCAACAGTGTGATATTAGAAATCCTGGTGCATTGAAGTGTTTCTTGGGAATTGAAGTTTCTAATCAATAAATGTATCTTAATTCTCAAAGAACATGCAAAATGGATCATAGATCTTCTCTATGAGATAGGAAGATTAACCACCCCACAACTGACACACCAGCAGATGCTAACCTGCAAACCGGATCTCATGTCTGACGAGTCTTCAGAAGACATTGGCTTCTATCAGTGGCTGGTATATCTACCATTACTAGGATCATATTTGTTGTTGGTGTTGTAAGCCAATTTATATGTGCTTCTTGAACTACACATCTAGATGTCATTGTTCAAATTCTTCGATATGTGCAGCATTTGGGCGTGGTCTTCTATTTCGCAATAACCTTGGCCTTGAGGTTTTGGGGCATTTGATGAAGATTGGCCTGGATGTCCTATTGATCATCAATCTACTACAGCATATTGTAGACAAATAAAATATTGTTGCTCACTCAAGTGCTAAACCAAAATACCAATTGAGCTATGTTGTCTACTGCGTGTGACATGATTTGGCTCAATACTTACTCTGCGAGTTGGGTTTTCGTAATTCTGCTTCTACACATCTGTATAACCAATCTTTTGTTGTTGGGAGTGGAAGCAGGTGCGGAGGCTGGAGTAGGAGCAGGAGCAGGAGCAGGAGCAGGAGCATGGGATCTACCTGTGGCTGAAGCTCCCTATTTTGGGAATGCCTAACAGCATTCTTCAGGAAGTAGGCTTGGCAACCGCTTGATATAATAGAGTTAGGTTGGGATCCACATGTCGACAAAGTTTAGCTTCACTAGGTTTGGTTGGTGGTTTTGTTTCTGAGGAAAAAAATATTTCATATTAATAAAAAGTTTTATAATATATATAAGATAAAACAAAGTTATACTATAAGTAATAATGTGAATGTGCAAAAGTCTATTGATTGTGTGTTCCCTGAGGCACATGCTCTGTCGGCTTTTATAAATTCAGAATTAACTCTTTTTTTTTTCTTTTAAATGCTCACGTGATTCAAAAGAGAATATTTATATTTATATCTATAAAATACTGCTAAATAGGTTTCTTTTTATTAGGGCTAACACCCTGCATTCAGAATGTGGTGCTGATGAATGAATTTCTTGCCATATCTTTAGTCAAGTTCAGGAAATTTATTGGAAGATTTTGATATGGCTGTGGACTCATTTTAAAGCTAGAAGGAACTACTATTTAAGAAGGTAGATTTTGCAAACTTGACGCATAATGGATGTCTGCGCCCCCATAAAGTGTACGGTTTGGATTGACGGGCTAATCTACAAGCATCAGGGACAATGCAGAGCATCTTTGGATCCAAAATGTCAACTGTTTCATTAAAGGGACAATCAAAGAGAAGTGGAGTTCTACGATTGCTGAAGGGGTGTGTGTGTGCTTTGTTTTTTTTTCCTTTTCGTTGTGCGTGTTGGGGGGGAGAGGGGGGGGGGACGGTGGGGGGGATCAGACATGCTTAAACGGTCCAAGGGGGACCTCTGTTTTGTATTAAAATATGGGTTCGGGTCTCAGGATAGGCATTGAATTCAATTGTTTAATTAAGAGGCAGTTTTAGTATAGACTTTTGCCATTAATCAGTGGTCACTGAGTTTTTACATTGACCACTTAGATTTCCATACTCTAGTAAGTTCTTACACTGGTTTATTAAAGTTACCTTTGTATGCCAATATGCCACAACATGAGCGGTTAAGTACAAATTCCATAGTACAATTACTGTTTTATTTGTACAATATCCATTAAAGTTCATAGTGGAATTGTTTATAATCATCAAAGTAGTGATTCTCTATTCAGGCAGTTTAGTTAGAGGATGCTTATTACTTGTTCCACATCGAGCTTAATTCATCCACATTATTTTGGGCTAATGTTAGATTCCTGATAGAAGTTTATGATGGTGTGCAGAATCTGTTTATACCTGCAGTAGTTTCTTTGGCTGTCCCTCTGGCCCTTATGTCTCTTACCAGGTATTAGGTCTTGGTCATATTTACCAGGATTTCTGACTACTTCAAATTTGATATAAGATTTTCACATACAGAAAATGGATCTAAATGTTTTTGTTTTGATTCCCAGTGAAGTTGATGGTAAGGGACAGGAATCTCCTGATGTTTTGGCATCAGAGCAAATGGCCCCTAGAGGGCAGCTTGTTTTTGGTGTTGGAATTGGTGCATTATTGTTTGTTCCCATATTCAAGGCTATAACAGGTCTTCCTCCTTACATGGGTATACTACTAGGACTCGGAGTCCTTTGGATCTTGACTGATGCAATTCATTATGGGGAATCTGAAAGGCAAACGTTGAAAGTACCACAAGCTTTATCCCGGATCGATACACAAGGAGTTCTTTTTTTTCTTGGAATTCTACTCTCTGTGAGCAGGTAAACTATTTCGACCTCTTTCGGGTCTTTCCATCTTATTTAAAAGTAGGTTTACTTGTGATGTAAAATCACAATGACCATTTCCAACTAAAAAATATGTAAAAGGAATAATCAATTCATTGGACTGTTAATGTATCTTGATGTTTCTTTTTGCATTTTATTGTACATTCACTTTGTCCTCTTGTATCTAACTCTCTCGGAAGTTTGACATTATTTGTGTAATTCCTTTATTATCTCTATTCTTATGAGAAGCTCTTGACAGAATTGGGGACAGCACACCATAACGTGTGGAAGCCTTCACATCTTATTTCATCATCTATGTAGGTCATTTTCTGTAGTGTGATATGAGTACTTGCCTGAATAGATTACTCCTGGATTTAACCACATGAAGTTTCTGAAGTCATTGTCATACATGCATTTAGGAAATGGCAGGTTCTTTGGCACAATGAGACCTGGGTAGAACGGTAACATCTAGATATCGGCTGCCTTAAACTGCCAGATCATATATTTTTGAGTGTCAAGGGCATTTGAAATATACAGGTTTCATGCTTCATGTGGGGTAATGCTCAATAGCAGCGTTTTAAAAAACGCCGAGTCGAACCGGACTCGCCCGGTTCGACTCGGAAATAGTGAAAAAGGAACCGGATCGTCCAAAAA